TGAGCAGGACTCTAAGATGACATCCACAATCACCTGTGGCATGTGCCACCACACCCTGCTGCCTTTATGATTTTAAAAATGTCTTTGTAACGTTATCTCATAGGCAGGCTATAAGAAAAAATTATGGAAAAAGTCAACGGCAAGAAAGAAGCGCTTGAGAGAATTTGTGTTCTGCAACAAGACCCAGAGTAAACTCCTAGATAAAATGACGACGTCTTTCTGGAAGAGGCGCAACTGGTACGCCGGTGATCCTTACCAGATGTACCACGATCGAACAAACCTGCGAGTCTAGTTCAGAGCTTTCCTAGGTTTCCAGCCGTGGATCTTTGTGTACACGTCCTTGCAGAAGTGAGTATGTGGTAAACTGTAAACTGTACCACCTGATAGACAAACAGAATACCACCATTGTGCTTTAAAATAAAAGTCCATGCATTAAACATCCTGGAGTTGGTCATGGAACTAAAAGTTAAGTTTTTTGTGCATTATTTCCAAAAATGGTAATGGTTGCGAAGAATCTCAAGTGAGGAAAAACACGAAAAGACACTTCAATAGTGGAGAGTTAGGATTGCATCTAGAGCCTCGCATATGCTGAACAGACATCCTGCGTGCCTATCCTCAATACAAGGCATGATTCATTTACCTTGGAACTCAGGAACCACCTCACAGTTTGATCTACTTCTGAGATTTCCCCACCCCAGCTTTGGGAGGGTGGAGTTGGATGGAGCACATAGATGGTGGGGCTGTATGCCTCGTCTCTGCCACGTAGGTGACTCTACCCATCACTCTTTATCCTGACTGTGCTTATGTAAAGTTTGTGTTCCCTCAGACCATTCAATGTGAACCTGTGGGTTCCTTTTAACGTTACAGCCCTCGCCTCATGTCATCTTCTGTCTCTTATTGCCGAGAGACTCTTAAGTGGGCCAGCTTGCTCATTTAAATAAATCTTAATCCATGCTACCATGCAATGTAGAGATTGCCTGTGTCTTAGTTGTATTAGCAGGTTCAAGTGGAATGAAAAAGCAGTTGTGAGCCGTTCTGCGAAGGGGTGACACAGGGTAGCAGTGTAGTTTCATCTTGTGTCCTGGGTTCTTTGTGCTTATGACAGTTATTCATTTTATTGTAACGGGATACTTTTTGTAAAAGTAAACCACCTTTCCATATAAGCTTCTTGAAACACACGGCTATATAATAAACTCTTTTACCCAATTTTTCTTTTCATCTTTAACTTTTATTTTTTACATATATGAGTGTTTTGCCTGCATGTATGTATGTATTTGCACCATGTGGTGCCTGGTGCCGTTGGAGGCCAGAAGAGGATTGTTTGGTCCACTGGCATTGGAATTATACATGGTCGTAATCCACTATGTGGGTGCTGGGATTGATCCTGGGTCCTCTGCAAGCACAGCCAGTGCTCTCAACTGTTAACTGTCTCCAGTCATCTGTCCAGTTTTTAAAAGTTTTTAAACCTTTTTTAAAAGTTTATGCACTTGAGATTTCTTATTTTCATTTGTAAGAATAAGCTTTTCTCCAGAATTCTCTAAAATCGCATTGTGGAAACTAAGGGGATAAGAAGTATCTGTCATTTGAGGAAACTGGCGGGCTGCCCACTGTGCTCAGAGGGCAGCAGTATCAATTCACCCACTTCAGAAATGGAAGAGGCCGTGGCCACAGCACCCTGAATGCACATGACTTTGCCTGCTCTCGGAAGCTAAGCGGGTCCCTGTTAGTACTGGGATGGGAAATGATGAAGAGTTACGTATTATTTACTTTTGTGCAAGGGATGGCCACAGTCCAAGGCAGCAACTCTAGCGCTCTGGTTGGAATTATCTGGAAGCATTTGCAAACAAAGCAGCTTGCCAAATTGAAAATTCCCATTAAATAGAATTACGAAATACTGTTTGAAACCTTATTCTACTAAGCCACTTAGTAGAATAAGATAATTGAAGTTCTGTGGCATGTCAGGCCATGAATTTGAGGCCATTCATTGAAACCAGGGCTTGTATTCATTAAACGGAGAGGGATGTGGAATAATGTGAATCCAGAAAGCCGAGCACGTATGTATTTGTGAGACCAGGCACGCAACTTGAGCACCTCATACTCCACATGGCTTCTGTTCTGGTGGCTCTTCTTGCCTGTGCCACATTCCTGAGGTGGCAGAAGCTGAGTACCGAGGGGCTTGTGCATTTCCTCACCCGCACAGCTCCCGCTTCCAGCACATCTGTGGCACTGGGAAGAGCTGGTGCTGCAGAAACTGAGAAAGAAGACACCGTGCAGCCCCATAACTTCTCTAGGTTCAGTGTGGATGTTTCGGGTCTCTGTTACATGCCTCAGCACCTTGGTGTCCCCAGTGGCCAAGGACAGGCTAGGCAGGGAAGGACCAGCAGCCACAGGCCGTGGTAGATGGGCTGCAGGCACTTTGTGTATGGGTTTCACATGTAGCTTTTGTTTGTGGGTAGGGGAGCTTTTCATCAGAGCTGAGTTTTTAGTTTGACAGTAAAGCAGTTTGCATTAGGGCCTGCCTAAATGATACTCAAGTATAATTGTTTACTTACATGTAATTTGTTAAACACTTGCTATATTTCAATATATCTGCACAAATCTGCCAGGCCTCATATCATTAGCCTTACAGCAGAGCTAACATTTATCCCTGGTATAAACTGGAGGCCACTAAAGCTTACAGAGGCTTAAATAATAACTCTGAAATACACCTTATGCATCCTAGAACTCCTGTCTAACTCTTTGGGATCTTGTGTGCTTCCTTTGATTTTCTAACTAGATAGGACAACTCAGATTTTAATCAAATAACTGATCCGACACTAGTAAATCCTCCAGTTCCGAAGTTGTGTGACTTCACTTTCTACTTGTCAACTCTGTTGGGGCACGGCCCTGACTCAGTAAATGAGTAAATGAATGGATTTCTAGCCTTCCTTCCCATCTCTTCTCCTGTTTTCTGTCCTCTGAACCTACTGCTTTCCAGTCCGTACTATACAAACAAAGGAAACAACTGTGATTAGCTCTGAAGCTTCAGGGTCCTCTGTGACTCCCAGCAAAGTTGGAGGCAGCCCGCTGCCTTATTGTTGGCTGGTTTTTTAAATAGTTCCCTTAACCAGGACTGGCTTCAAATTCACGGCTAACTAAGGATGACCTTGAACTTCTGACCCTCCCTCTCCACCTCTCTGATTTCTGGGAATCATAGGAATGTGCTATCACGTCCTGTTTCTGTGGTGCTGGACAGGAACCCAGTGCCTGATGCTCATGGTTTAAAGGTGAGGGGTGCAGAGGGTTAAGGGCATCTTTACCATCTGCAGTGGCTCCACACATGTGCAAGCCTGTTCTAACCTGCATAGGTGAAGAAACACTCACGGAAATGGCTACCCAGCGGTCTGCTTACTAAAGTGAAGCTGCCTACCAGTGGGCTACCAGTTTCCTAGGTACCCAGGTTCCACTGATCTCTAAAACAGTGCAACAGCAACACCTTACCGTTACTATTTGTGTGATCATCTGGGCTTCTGAAACATGTATCAGTGACATCATCCCATATAGTGGGCAAGTTTCCAGGCTAGGGAGTAGTTAACCGTTCAGTTTCTAACCCTTGTTACCGTCTACGTTTAAAATTAAATTTTAGTTAATTTATTATCTATAATTCTATGTTTGTATTTTTGAGGCAGTCTCATTGTGTCCCAGGACTGCCTCAATCTCTATGTTGCTGAGAATTCCCTTGACTTCTGACCTTCCTGCTTCTGCCTCCAGGGCTGGGACTGCAGATGTGTACCACCGTATCTGGTTTATGGTGCTAGGGATTAGACTCAGCTTCGTGCGTATTAGTCAGGCACTCTGCCAACTGAGCTACATCCCTAGACCCCTCCCACACTGAAAAACTTAGATTACATTTTAATGATTTAATTTTGGGGTGGTGGGTATGTGTGCCACAGTGTGTGAGTGGAAGCCAGAGGGCAGCTTGCAGGAGCGCCTTCTCTCCTACCATGCAGCTCCCAGGATTTTGTTGTTGATGTTGTCTGATTGGTTTGGTTATTTTTGTATTTATTTTATTTATTTTGTTTATTTATTTATTTTCAAGACAGGGTTTCTCTGTGTAGCCCTGGCTGTCTAGGAACTCATTCAGTAGACCAGGCTGGTCTTTTACCTCAGAGGTCGGACTGCCTCTGCCTCCTGAGTGCTGGGATTAAAGTGCACCACCACCACCCAGCATGTCCCAGGGTTTAAACTCAAGCCCTCAGGCCTGTTGGCCAGTACTTCTGCTTCTTAAGCCACCTCACCATCCCTCCTACATTTTCAACAAGTATTCTGGAGTTGCTCAGATGGTATGGTGGCTAAGAATGCTAAGAGGACCCAAGTTTGGTTCCCAGAACCTACGTCTGGTGACTTAGGACCACTGTAATTCTAGCTCCAAGGGATCTGATGCCCTCTTCTGGCCCTTGGGTATCTGCACTCTTGTATACAGGCACACACATACACATAATTTGCTGAGAGCCAGGCCAATCCAAGGCTTTCTCAGAGGCCCCAATGAAAGGACAAAAGGAACCTAGTTCTGTGACCTGGCCAAAGGTGTGGAGCTAGGGCCAAGCCCCTGAAGGAGTTAAGGTTTTGGTTTCTGGGAAGTTGGCTTTTTCCCTTGAAGAGACTGGAGTTATCGGTCCCAGTGCTGATGTGTGCCGGGTCTCTGATGCCCTGGAAATACCCTGTGTCCCCTTGTGCAGCACTGCTTGATCAGCTTCGCTGACTTCATCCCACTGTACGATGGCTTTCTGCTGACTCTGCCCCTCACCTCCCCGCAAACCATATGTAAGATGCTCTACTTCTTAAGAAACGTGTCTGGGATAAGGTGTAGCTTGTGCATGGCCTCCCATCCCCGGCTTTTATCTTCTCATCTCCTGGTACTCCCCCTTAGAACCAGTGAGAAATGACTTGTAGTCTTGGTCAACAATTGTTTAAAAACCATTAAAATAAAAAATCCTTTTTTAAAAAAGTATTTCCTCTTTTCTCATAAGCCCAACATTACAATTTTTTTTTTTAAAAGAAAAAGGTTAAGACTTTATTCAAGATATTTACCAGGCATTATAACAACAGCAGAGCTTCAGCCTTCGGAATACTGCAGTTCACATCCCTTAGAGACACAGTTCAGGGTACTTAGTCAGAGCTCACTCTAGAGAGACTTCAGAAATCAGCTAGAGGAAATGTGCACAGTCACAATCCAGAACGTCAGCTGCTGAGGGTTCGCTGTCCGAAGATGAAGCACATCCTTCGTCACTTCAAATACTGTGCGAGCTGAAGACTGGGAAGGCCACGCGACGTTGTGGTCGATGAGCGCTCTTAACACAAACACATGGACAGGTTACCGCGGAGAATGTACACATCGAAGGCCAGCAGAGTGAGCAAGCTAACCACACAGTCAGGAGAGGTTACGACTAAATCTCCAGTTGATGAGCGTGAGTTCTCACCTCACGTCTTCAGAAGTGGGCCATGTCCTCCAAGGCGAGCAGCTCAAAGCTGAGACAAGTGCAGACCTTCAAGCCAGCACTTTGTAAACAGCCCGTGTCTAAGCCAGCAAACTAGAAACATTCATTTTTCTCGTCTAGACAGCACCACACCACTCCACGGACAGGGACATTCACATCGTATGTCAGTCCACATACAAGTGCACAGCTTGTCAGAAAAGTAAACACATTTTTCGAGAAACAAAGACAGCTGCGCTTGGCTCTATAGTGAGTGTCTTTAAGAGAGGAGACGACCCTCTAGTCAACACTTGAAGGAAAAGTAGTTACATTTACAATAAGACAACGATTTAGATACCTTTCTATTTTAAATCTCGAGCAAGAATACGGCGTGTCTGAGAGGAGTGCTTCACACTGGGGTTTGGCATCGCTGAGTACAAGCTCAATAGCCTAGACATGCTATGACTTCCCGTAGTAAAATGGTGAAAATACAATAGGACTTGAACTCTGCTCCTAAAGCCATTTATTTTGGGGGAGTGGGCTGGGGGGGGGGAGCTGCAAAGCTGCTTCTCAGGCTTTTCTGCACCTGTTTCTCTTCATCCCAGACACACCCAACCAACAGGTTTGTACATTGTACAGGGCCTCATTTCGCCTGTCTGGAGCTGTTGGTTGACTGAAGAGGACAGATGTTTTTAACGGGTTCAGATGGGTGTGGGCCATAGGCAGACTCTTTGCCCTCCCAGTCGCCAGCTTCTGGGTTAGTTCCCTAGGGTTAGTTCTAAAATACAAAATCATGTTGGTAGAATTTCACTAGGTGTATCTGGCAGCAATGAACTTCAACTGAAACTCTTTGTGAAGCGGCCAACGTGCAGCTAATGTAGCCTGGCAGTCTCCCAGCGTATGCGTGTCTAGCTCAGTAGTGGAGCGGTTTGTAATGGAGCCTGCAGTTACTGCAGGTCTATGTGGTATACAACACTACTTCTCTAGTCCTCAGGGCGTAGCTATGAACAAATACAATCCAAATAGGAGTAACTGGGTTGGGACCACTGCATGCGTTACACGGAAAGAAAACACCAGCTCTAAGCACAAACAGACTAGCCCTACAATTTGGCTCAGCTCTCAGAGGGGAGGGCAGCTCCGCAGACCACCGTGCTATCTAAGTCAGATACTTGTCAAGTTGTCCCTTCAGTCCTGGCTTGTGTAAGACATCCACAACGACATGGAGTGAGCGTGAGTGTCAGCCCATCCCGTCCATCTTCACAGAAGCCAGGAGGGGGCAAAAGCCACGGCTGCCGGTGGACCTCGGCCTCGGCCCTCCCCAGATCTTGCCTCCCTGTGGTTCTGTGAGCAGCTGGTGGTTTTGGAGCACACCTGAAACAAAGCCTAGTTCTAGCTTTTCCTCTCTGCTTAGTGTTCTCTAAAACAAGGTGCTCAGATGTAGGTTCTTCCTCCTGGAGAAATCCACCACGGCACTGGTCCCTGAAGGAGAAATACTCTTGCCGAGTGATTTGAGATACTTGGAATTCTTCCAGCAGCTGAGTCTCCACCCCTCCCCCCAAAGGTTCTGCTAAGGGTGAGCCATCTGCCTGCCTGAGGCAGTTCCAATGCCCTCCTAAGGGCTCAGATGCTTCTGATCTTGAACCCAAGGAGATGCACTTCCTTCCTCTTCCCTGGCTCAGCAACCTTCCTTCCTGTTGCCGAGAGCCTGTGCTCCGACTCAGCTCTGCTCTGCTGACTACACAGCCACGTGAAGGACGTGGGCCACCTTCCTGCAGGAGAAGACATGCCCTACTGCCACTGGCTCTGTAAGCAGGTTGGAGACATTGTCTAGAATCAAAATATTTGTCTACATTTCCATTTTGTTGCAGTCCTCTCACTTATCAGAACCTCTAGCAGCCCTTGCAAGTTCATTACATTAAGCTAAAAGCCGTAAATATGTACATCATAGTCCAATGTATTAGTACCCTGAACAACAAAAAGGGTTTTTAAAACGATCACTTCGTTTGCATTTACAGGACCAAAAACTATGCAACAAATAAATTACAAATGTCCATCTCAGCAGCAGGGTAAGAGAGCTTATGTATCTAAAAACACTGTGGCCACAATGACAATCCAGCTGCGGGACATTACTAACCCCAGAAGACGGAAAGGTCACCCTCTACCACTGCCTTTAGCCTTTAGCCTCTCCCCAGCAGGAACAAGAAGAACAGAAAAGTCTTAAAGGCAGAAGAGGGGAGTAAGTAAAGGCCGTGTCTGTGAGGCTGCACACTCAAGCACACCCAGCCTGTGGACTTCCGTGGTACTAGTGACTAGCTCTTTAAGGCAGAGGAGAGACATCTGTGGATCCGGTGCTGTTGGCTCATCTCACTCACGTGGTTTCAGTGGCCGAGGATGAGGTACTTTTCTTCCTGAAGCGGGACCGAAGGATTCTAGGCGGTGCCTGGTAGAGGAAGCAGAGACAGGGCATCCTTCATGTGACTGAAGTGGGGGAGCTTGGGAGACAGCATCTGGGGAAGGGATAGAGACATCACCCTCTTTGGCCAGCTTCCCTAGCAGGTGGAGCTGGGGTCCCCACAACAGGAATCAGCTCCTACGGTCCCACCCTTGCACCATGTGAAGTGAGACTGAGCCCCCTGAGAAGGCCATCACGCCTTCCTGAGTCCAAAGGAAGACAGCTCCAGGCCTTTGCTTATTTCTGTTTCCTCTGGGAACTGTTTTCTGGTGTATGCTTCAAACTTCAGTCTTTATTTCAGATGTGAAACCTTTTAGTATCCAGCAGGCCACACCACAAAGGTCAAGAGCACCTCCTCTCCCCGACCATGACTGTGGGGATTGTTTCTCTCAGGGAGGCACAAGCCACAGGAGGCCTTATGATCCAAATAAGGAAAAGGGAAGGTGTTCTTCTAGCACGCCACCCAATAGGGTCCCCAGAGCTGGCCCCGACCCACTCTCCACAGCCTGAGCTTCTCCCCCGTACTGTTAACCACCGTCCCTTCTGACGGGAAGTCCTATTGCTCCTTTCTCTGCCTTGTACACTTCTGGTCCCCCTGAGCTGGTCTAGGAGACCCCTTGACTCTGACCTGCCTGGCCACACAGCTACCTTTGTCTCTCATAGTGGTCTGATCAGTGTTGTTCATTTGAGACAGTGGTCATGAGATAGATCATTTTGTAGCCCAGGCTGGATTCAAACTTGTGTTGATCCTCCTGCTTCAGCCTCCAGAGTGAGCTGAGCTGACAGATGTGCTTCATACCTGGGCACATACACGGCTACGTGAGCACTCGCCCTAGGAGATGCACACCTCCAGTTCCTCTTCCTCACAGTGGTTTGTACACCCCCACAGCAGAGGGCTTTGGATTGGGTGCAGGGAGTGGGACATCAGACTGAGGTGAGGCCTGTGTTCTTTTCGCCACTATCTGCTGGTGACTGACCCCAGTGGGGAACGGGCTCAGCATCCCCCAGATCCCCCAGGCCACGGTTTCACTGGTAGGAAAGGTTCACTGTCCCTTCTGGATGGAGACTGAGACAGCAGCAATCAAAGCCTCCCTTTTTAGGCACCCATTTCTTAGACATCAGCAAGGGAGCTGTGTGCAACGCTTTAAACAAACCACAGCTAGGTGTGGTGGTGCACACCTGTGACCATAGAATGCAGAGGCGGAGGAGCGGGAGTCTGTGGCCAGCATTCACTCCAGAGGGCGTTTGGGTTTGATTGAGGCCATTATGGGCTATAGAGTGAGACTGTGGAGTGCACGCACGCACAGCGCACACACACAGTATGATCCCTTGAGCCCTGGGATATTTAAAGTGAATTTTTCCATTATGAGGTTTCCCAGGCTCTGAGGCCGGACAGCACTAGTCCAGAACTTAGAACTAATCCACACCGGCTGGTTGGGGACGTAACTCCGTGGTAGCATGTGTGCTAATATATATGGGAGGCCCTGGTCTGATCCTCAGCACTGAAGAAGAGGTGTGGAAAATAACATATGAGAGAATGTGAACGATCCATCTTGGGCAGGAATGAAGGGACTCCTACATCTGAGGGGGCTGTAGCTTCCATTCCTGAGGGAACAAGAAAACTAGGCCTCGTGCTTATGAAGGGGATAAGGGGATGTCTCTGAGCATCTCATCTCATTCTCACAGGGTTCTCTAGTTTTGTATTTTTGTTTGTTTGTTTGTTTGTTTTTCGAGACAGGGTTTCTCTGGAGCTTTGGAGCCTGTCCTGGAACTCACTCTGTAGACCAGGCTGGCCTTAAACTCATAGAGATCGGCCAGCCTCTGCCTCCCGAGTGCTGGGATTAAAGGTGTGTGCCACCACTGCCGGGCCAGTCCCTCTAATTTTGTGACAGGAATCATGACTTTCTCACATGACCTGATTTCCATCCCTCGAACTGATTCCACATGTGTGTGCATGTATGTGTGCATGCAAACACA